GGGCGCAACCCGGACAGCGATGGGCGGGTCCATCTTTGGCGGCTCGTCCAGCTCGTCGTCGTCGGCGGCCGCCGCGCTCCCACAAGAGTTTGCGCCGCTCGTGGCGCCGCAGCGCAACGTCACAAAGCTGTTGATCTCGACACAAGGCGCCGCCAGCAAAGCCGACGCCGAGTTCGACAAGATAATGAACAGCGCGCCGCCCGCAGCGCCCGTCTACGCGGCACGGCTCAACGGTCTTCTCAAGACAATTGCCGACGGCGAGGACGCGCTGGCGCAGATGGTGCGTGCACGCATGGACCTCAAGAGCGTGCTGGACAACCTGCAGGCACAATACCAGAAGCTGCTCGAGGCAGACCGGCAGCGGCTCGCCCAGCTGGCACAGCGGCGCGTGCAGGTGGACGAGCGCAAGCGGCAGGTCGAGGACAAGATTATGCGCGATCTGAGCGGCGCCGGCGCCGGCGCCGGCAATGGGGCGGACAGCGATACACCCGGCGGCCACAGTGGTGCCGGCAGCTTGTCGCCGGTACAGGAGCCGCCACGGCCCGAAGTGGAGGCGCTGACGCCGCCCAGCACCGATCCGGACGATATGAGCGAGCCGGTCTTCCCGGGTCTCGAACCGCCACCACCGCCGCTGTCTCGGAGCGCGTCTGGCGATGCAGCAAACGACGCGGTTGCGGCCAGCGACGAGCACGCCAACGACAGCGCAAGTTCAGGACCACCACAGGTGCACGTCACGCCCGCGCCCAATCCGTCCGTGTCTGGCATTGCTATCCTCTCAAACCTTGCGGCGCAGGCCGTCCCTGTTTCGACCAATGGAGCAAACAAGCGCCGCCGCATCGACTCGTCCGAGGAGGTGCCGGACCTGGACGATGGCATTGACGCGGACGTGGCCGAGATGCTGCGCAAGGACAGCCAAAGCTAGAGGCTGCCGGCGACCGGGCAGCTCTAGTAGAAGCATCTGCCATACATTGTGCCCAAATTCAATGTGTCTGTATTTATGTACTCCATAACTAGGAGGAGCTGAAGCCATCCGAGCTGGCATGTGCATTTCTGTATTTTACGTTTGCTGCTTTTTTCTTCATCTTTTTCTACTGTTTTGTTTTCATCTGTATTTATTTTGCGAGTCACCAACAACGTCAGAGAAGACGGACTCTTCTACTTCGTATTTAATTAACAAATGCCATCGCAAACGTATTTCTTGCCAGTGATTTTCACGTGTAGGAATTTAGGACATTCACAGGCGCTCGTTCTTGCCAACAATTGTGCCTGCCGTTATATGCAGTTAGCGGGGAAGAAGCTAAGATACAGTGGCAGCCTTTGAGAAAAGTGCGATTGTAGCAGAGATACCACGAAATATAGCGCAGCGATCTCGGCCTTACAGCGTTGCGTGGGTGGAGGCGGGGCAGTCTTTCCCCTGTAAACGGCCCTGTCTACCGGTCTAATGCCCGCCAACGCACCGCCAATGTTCCTTCCGCGGGTTTAGTACCTCTTTCCTTTTTTTCCCCGAATCCCGATTTTCAGCGACTTCACCCGTCGACGTCAACACAACGCCGATTCAGCAACTCTCAACTCATCCCCCGACCGGGCACACGCACGGAAACGACAAGCATCGCCCACTTTGCAGTGCCAGGACCTCTCGCTTTGTCCTCTCACAATGATCTGCGGAGCACTGCGGCGCCAAGGCGCGCAGCAGCTCCGGGAGCGCGCTGCTGTTGGCGGCTGGGGAAGTTGTGGAAGCTGTGGAAACAGTGGAAACAGTGGAAACAGTGGAAGCGGCATTGCGCACAACGCGTTGGTGCGAACAGCCAGGCCACAGACGCCGACCGTTGCCAGAGACTGTATGCGGCCGCGGATACGACAGCAGCAGCAGTCGCGATACGTTTCGAGCGGCAACAGTGGTGCCAGCGCCCGTTCCGCCAAACCAACCTCCTCCTACCGGCCGCCAGTTTCGTTTTCTTCGGCTCGAAACAGCGGCGGCAGCGGCTTCGGTCTCGGGAGCAGCTGTGCAGCCTCTCTCCGTTCCTCTATGGCCTCGGCCGGACGGCCCAACAGCATAGTGTGGGGTAGTGACAGCCGCTCGCCCGCAGCCTCGGCGGTCGCGATAATGCGGCGCATGTCGACGACAGCGTTGCGGAGGCAAGACAACAGGACGGCACCAGGGACACCAACGACGTCTACAGCGCCAACGACGGCCACCCCCACAACGGCCCCGCCGGCGGCCGGCGACGAGTACCAGGACAAGCACGGCTTTCAGCGCAGCGAAAGGGCCGAAAAGGCCACACAGGTCAACATGGCGGCGCGGCTGTCGCGCGAGGGCAAGACGACGGCCAAGGCCGGCTGGAACGAGGTCTGGCGCCTGATCCGCATCGCGCGGCCCGAGTTCCGCTGGCTTGCCGTGGCCTTTGTGTTCTTGCTGTTCTCCTCAGGCGTGTCCATGTCCATCCCCTTCTCTGTCGGCCGCCTGCTCGATCTCGCCACCAAGGGCGCCGCCGACGACGTTCGCATTTTGGGCCTGACCATGAACCAGTTCTTTGCGGCGTTCGGCGCGGTGCTCACCATCGGCGCCGCCGCCAGCTTCCTGCGCATCATCATCCTGCGCATCGTCGGCGAGCGCGTCGTGTCGCGCCTGCGCGCCCAGCTCTACCGCCGCACCTACACCCAGGACGCCGAGTTCTTCGACGCCAACCGCGTGGGCGACCTCATCTCGCGCCTCAGCTCCGACACCGTCATTGTCGGCAAGAGCATCACGCACAACCTCTCGGACGGCATGCGCGCCATTGTCAGCGGCTCGGCCGGCCTCGTGGCCATGATGTGGCTCAGCCCCAAGCTGACGTCCATCCTGCTCATCATGTTCCCGCCCATTGCCGTCGGCGCCGTTGTCTATGGCCGCGTCATCCGCAACATCTCACGCCGCATCCAGCGCAACCTCGGCACGCTCACCAAGATTGCCGAGGAGCGTCTGGGCAACATCCGCACCAGCCAGGCCTTTGCTGGCGAGGTCCAGGAGGTCTCGCGCTACAACAAGCAGGTCCGCAAGATCTTCTCCCTCGGCCGCCGCGAGGCCCTGATCTCGGCCACCTACTTTGGTGCCAACGGCTGGATGGGCAACATGACCATCCTGGCCCTGCTGATTGTCGGCGGCAACCTCGTGCGCTACGGGTCCATGTCCGTCGGCGACCTGACGTCCTTTATGATGTACACCGCCTTTGCAGGCTCCAGCATGTTTGGCATATCGGGCTTCTACTCGGAGCTCATGAAGGGCGCCGGCGCCGCCACGCGCCTCTTTGAGCTGCTCGACCGCGACCCCGGCATCCACACCACCGTGGGCACCAAGGTCAAGTCCGCCCAGGGCCCCATCCGCTTCTCCAACGTCACGTTTGCCTACCCAACCCGCCCTGCCGTCAACATCTTCCAGGGCCTCGACTTTGAGATTCCCTCGGGCAGCAACGTCTGCATTGTTGGCCCGTCGGGCGGCGGCAAGTCGACTGTGGCGAGCTTGTTGCTGCGCTTCTACGACCCGTCCCAGGGCAGCATCACCATCAACGGCGTCGACGTCAAGTCGATGAATGTCAAATCGCTGCGCCGCCGCATCGGCATGGTTGCCCAGGAGCCCGTGCTGTTTTCGGGCACCATTGCCGAGAACATTGCCTACGGCAAGCCCGGAGCCTCGCGCGCCGATGTCATTGCCGCCGCCCAAAAGGCCAACTGCCAGTTCATCAGCGACTTCCCCGACGGCCTCGAGACACATGTCGGTCCCCGCGGGGCCCAGCTTTCCGGCGGACAGAAGCAGCGCATCGCCATTGCGCGCGCGCTGCTCAAGGACCCGGACATTCTGCTGCTGGACGAGGCCACGTCGGCGCTCGACGCCGAGTCGGAGACGCTCGTCAATGCCGCGCTCGCTGCCCTGCTCAAGGGCCGCAGCACCACCATCTCCATTGCCCACCGGCTGTCCACGATCAAGCGGTCCGACCAGATCATTGTCCTCAGCAACCACGGCACCGTTGCCGAGACGGGCCGCTACGCGGAGCTCAGCGCCAACCCCAACAGTGCCTTTAGCCGGCTCATGGAGTGGCAGATGAGCGGCGGCGAGGTCGCTGCGCCGACCCCGCGCACCGATGGCCACATCACCGAGAAGGAGCGTATCGAGGACCACCTCGAAGAGCCGCTGCCCGAGGAAGAAGAGGAGGAGGAGGAGGATGCGGAAGAGGACGAGGACGACGAGGAGCACCACCGCAGGACGAAGGCCAGAAAGGTACAGGCCATTCCCAAGGCGGAGGTCTAGACGATGTCGATCTTTTGTCCTCGCGTTCATTTTCGGTTCTGAATTATCTCATTGCATGTTCCATAAAATAGAAACGGGAAAGGACATCGGGCGAACTACTCCACTTTCAACAGACACAAAACAACGTTGCGCTTGGTTTGCCTTTGGGAGGGCATCTTTTCATTTTGGGAGTTATATTGTATCTATTTTGGGGACCCAGTGGGCGGCTTGGGCCGGTCGTGGCCGGTCCTTTGTACTGTATCTCTTGTTTTTTTCAACATTTCCCTCCATGCCTGTACATTTTGCTACTATTTTGTCGTTTTATTCTTTCGGCTCTACACTCTACTCGATACCTCTCCTTGTCAATATAAATAAACTTAAATATTGCAAGCAAATTGAGTATTTATTATTGGGTTTTACAGTTTTACAGCAGTCACATTTAGGCGAGACAGTATCCTTTATTTTATTTTATTTTATTTTAAAAAAATTGTAAGACACAAAAAATAAATACGCACATAAAAGTATAAATAATACGTAATTTCTTTTATTTCCTAAATATATTTTACTGTCTTCCAAACACCGTCCGTGATTCTATTTTTGTGTTTTTAAAGGAAACGACCGCCACCCTGACATACCCGTTGACGCCGAACAAATAATAAAAATACAAAATAACTAGAAAATAGTAGATACATATGTAGTACATTGTTCACGGAGGAATCCTGCCCGCCTCGTCCTGACCTTACACATCCTCAAATTCAAAGCCTTCCTCATCCTCGTCGTTATCTTCGGCCTCCGCTTTGACCACCACCTTGGCCGGTTCTGCAGCGGGTTCTGTCGCCCCGTCCTCCAACTTCATCTTCTTAGGCGAGCTTGTTGGGCTTGGCGGGTCGGACATGGCCTCTCGCTTCAGGCTGCTCTGCGAGTGTGCTTGGCGCAGAGGCGATGGCGCCTTGGGCAGTGTGCTGGTGCCGTTGCCCACACCAAACGGCGTTGACCGGGGTGGCGACGCCGCGTTTCGTGGGGGCGGCGGCGCCAGCCCTCCGCCCGGGCTGGCGGGGGTGGCCGCGCCCGAGTTGTTGCCCGTCTGCACCACGTCCTCGAACATGGCCTCGTCGTCTTCCTCGTCGTCGTCCTCGCCGTCCTCGTCGTCATCGTCTTCGCCGTCCTCCCCGTCGTCGTTGTTGCCGTTTTGGTTCTTTTGCGCCTCCTCGGCCGCCTGCCGCTTGAGCCGCGAAAAGTAGTCGTCAATGTCGGCCTCGGCCGTGGCGTCCGTCTTGGCCTTGGCTGTCGGGTGCTTGACGTCGTCGTCCAGCGCCTGGACGCCCGCCACCTGGTCCGTCTTGAACGCCTCGCCCGTGATTGTGCTGTTGGACATCCAGCTCGGCAGCGCGTTCTGCTGGGCCACGCGCTCGCGCTGCGCGCGTTCCTCGGCCTTTTCTTCCTCGGTCGGCCCATTGCCGGCCTGGATCGACACGGACAGCGTGCTCGGGCCCGTATTGGCCATGCCCTTGACGGCTGTCGGCCGGTTCATGGCGTCCACGCCAATGCTCGTGTGTGTCTGGTGCATGGCGTCGCGCATCACGGCCCGCCGGCTGTTGAAGGCCGCCTCGAAATCGTTGTCGGGGATGACGACGCTGTCAATCTTGGGCAGCAGGTCCGTGATAAACTTGAACTGGTTGTTCATGCGCGTGCTCCGCTCGTGGCCGCCCGACTTTCCGCCGTCGCCGTGGCGCAGGACGGTGCCGCAGCGGTGGCACAGGAAGCCGGCCGGGCCGACGCTGTCGAGCACCTCCATCTGGGTCCACTCGGCCTTGCAGTGGTCGCAAAAGTACTCCTTTTTCTCGCTGGGGGGCACGACGGGGCCCTGGAGGTCCTTGTCGATCTTGTAGACGCGCCATTTGATGGCGTCAATCGTCTGCCGGTAGTCGATGTAGTAGTAGGTACGGTTGTTGGGCCGCTGCTGCCCTTCGCGAAGCTCGGATCGAGAGTGTCTTTTCGACAAGAAGAACAGGAAACGAGGAGAACGAGGGTTAGCAAAGATACAAGGCTAAACGGAAACCAAGCAGGTGGTGCGGTCCGTACGATGCGAGCAGACGATCTTCCTTGAGCTTCTGGCACATCTTGTGGAGATCTTTAATGTTCATGCTGATGAGATAGGCCAAGTCATCGTCGCGTAGTCTGTAATAAGTCGGGCGAGAAGAAACAAGGACATGATGTCAGCACTGCGTTTAAAAACCATGCTCTCAACGAGGTCTCACATACGCCGAGTGAATTACAAGCGCATCGATAATGAGAATGTGCTTGGTCTCGTAGAACGCCCGCACGACGGAGCGCACCAGAGTCTTTGCGAGATCCATGGTGAAGGCGATGGACGTGAGGACGTTCGGGTGGATGGACGAAGGGGACGAAGGAGGAAGTTTGAACAGGTCGGATGTGAGATGAAGGTCACGAGGCGAAGAGAGGAGGGCGGGGAGAGGAGGACGCGGCGGATGCGCTACCGAGACACAGCTATCACACTGGTCATGATTCAAAGGCGGACTCGCGCGATGTATTTCGATCGGGGTGTGCGCAGGGGCGGGAGGTGGATGAGATCGTAGGAATGTCGAAAGGTCGAAAGGTCAAATGGTCCAAAGAAGAGGCTGAGGGCGACTTTTCGACAGCTCTGTTTTCGAGGCGCCGCGATCGCCCAAAAACTATCGCTCAATCGAGAATCGAGGGGAGAGACACACTCTCGAGTAAGCGACGCGCGGGACGTTGTGATGGCGGGCGTGGCCTGCGTCGATGGTGTCGCGTGGTCGTCGTGGAGAGGATGGCAAAAGGGAAGAAGCAAAATTAATGTCCGAAGCTGTCTCATAGGCAGCTGGTAGCTTATGGCAGCCGCGTGAGGCTACGGGCCCACAAGGGCGGCTTTGTCTTCCCTGTGGCTCTAGGCGGGTACGTGGCGCTAGTGCGGAAGAGTGGGGAAAGGTATCATCGACTTGACTTTACGCTTCACACCGGACAACGCCTTGAACGGATCAGCTACGAGGACAGTTTATTGTGAAGAAATTCACATACATGATCGACGGTATGAGCACGTAGTGTGATACAATATGCTGCTTCCTCGACAATGTATGATCCATGGGAGGCTTTGTCAAATACAATCCAAGAACGAAAGATGAGAAAAATGATAAGAAAAGATGGACGAAAAGGAACGTAAATATGCAGAAATACAGCTCAAATGACCTCGTACACTACACTAGATATCGGACAGTCTTCTGTTGGCCATCATGGCCCTTCCAGCACCTTCTTACAACTCGCCCATCTGCGGCGAAGGCCGGTGGGTTGTGCCACCGGCGCCCGCCATAAACGGCGACCGGTCCGCATCGAGCACGGCATGCACGTCCAGCTCGGCCGGAGGCAGCCCATCGTCTAGGAACGCCAGCGCCTCGACGGCCTTGCCGCCGCAGGCGCGCTCCAGAGCCAAAAAGGCAAAGTGGCCGCCAACGACGGGGCGGGCGCGGAACATGAGACCGCCCGGATAGCCGCCGTTGCCCTCGGTCTCGTAGAGGTCGGTGAAGGGCTCGGTCGTATCGGTCTTGTTGACCCAGTGCGCGACACTGGTCAGGATCTCCGCGCGGGTGGACTTGCTGGTGATGGCAGCGGCAAAGAACTCCCAGTCGCTCTTGGTGTAGAGGTGGCGGCTGTCAAGGGGCAGGCCGAAGCGCTGCAGGACGTTGTGATACCAGTCGCTCTGCATCTTGTAGATCTTGTCCGGGATAAAGACGGACGAGTCAGACTCGGCGTCGGCGTCCGACGTGGACTTGGACTTGTCGCCGCCCAGAGGCGTCTGGCCCGTCGTGTCGAAGACGGCGGCCGCCTCCGCCGTGGCGTCCGACGGAATGTGGAAGCAGAGGAGCGAGTCCGCGTACAGGTTGTAGAGTGTCGTCCACGAGCCGTACCAGTCGTACGCGAGCTTGGCATGCGTGCCGTCGCGCGAGATGCCAAACTCCTGCCACTTGGCAATGTACTCGTCCGCGATGTCGCGGTAGTACGCGGCGTCCTTCTTCTCACCCAGCACGGTAGCAATCTCGCTCATGGCGCGGATGCCGATGATGCCCTTGAGTGCCAGGTTCGTCTGGTAGGCCAGCCAGCCCGCAAAGTCGTCCGTCGACAGCTGCCAGCGCGGGATCAGCGACTCACGCACCAGGTACCCGGTCCACTGCTTCCAGAGCTTGTACGACCGGGCGACCCATTGCCTGGCTTCTCTTGCGCCTGTCGTCGTCGCCGAGGATGTTGAGGTCGAGACACCGCCCCACGGCAGGTCAATGCCGTGCACGTCCATGTAGCGCATCTGCTCGTCGGTCAGGTCGAGCCGGGTCGCAGCCGTGACCTCGTTCCGGATGGAGGCGTCGGGTGTGTTGAACGCCGGTGTCGTGTCGTACCTGAACGCGTTGACGAGCGCCAGGCCCATGATGAGCATGTTGCCACACTCCTCGACGGGCATATATTCGTCGTTGCCGTCGCCGTGGCCGGTCTGGTTGGGGAAGTGGTAGCCGAGGTCGTGCATGCTGTAGTCGTTGGGGTACTGGCCGCTCAACTGGTGCTCCAGGAGCGGCTCCAGCAGGTACGCCAGCCAGCGTGGGTTGGTGTACAGGAAGAAGGGGAACGCGGGGAAAATCACGTCGACGGTCTGGCAGTTGCCGTTGGACGAGATTTCCTTGAGGAACAGCAGCGGGTTGTCGGGCGTGCCGGAAAACTCGGTGGCGCCGAGCACCTGGCGCGCCGACAGCGACGCAATCTCCTCGTACTCTTGGGACCCGGACGCAAACGCGTCCTTGGACAGCTGCTCCGAGTACGTGCGCGCCAGCTTCGTGGCCACAGCAAAGTCGTCGTAATGGTACTGGATCAGGTCGTCGGTGTCGGGGATGTAGCTGGCCCAGAGCGGGCGCATGAAGGTGAGGCCACGGGCCGACGCATACTGGACCACCGGATCTTGGATCAGCGCAAATGTAAAGAGCGCGCTGTCGTCCGACACGTTGCCCTTGTCGGTCTTGCTCTTGCTGCCCAGGTGGAACGACTTGGAAAACGCAAAGATGGGCTCCCGCTCCATGATGCGGCGAAAGGGGCCGTCGTTGGCGTTGCCCAGCGCGCCCGTGCGTGCAAACTTGGTGCGGATCTGTGCGGACACGCCGCTCTCGTGCTTGACGGACTCGGGCGCCGAGAAGTACAGCGTGCCCCACTCGGCGCGGTCGGCAAACTCGGTGAACAGTTCCTGCTCGACGCGGGACACGGTCCACGTCTTGATGGGATGGCTGCTCATGCGGGCGTCACCAAAGAAGCCCTTGTCGGCCTTGGCCTTGTGCTTGGCCTCTTTGATGCCCCACTGGATCTGGTTGTCGCGGTTGCCGCTGACCCATTCGCCGTTGACGTCGAGGTAGATGTCGATGTCGAAGCTGCCCTCGACAACCACGTTGAGATAGGCTGCCGGGATGGACTGGCGGAAGGTCGACGTGGGCGTAATGGGCGACAGAAACGAGAGTGTGACCTTGAGCTTGTCCTCAGCAGGGCCCGGCACAAGGTACGTCAGGTTGGTGGTCGAGGCGTCAAACGTGGCGCCGAGGTACTCGGGGAAGTTGACCGTGAAGCGCTTGTCCGACCGAGAAAGCGAGTCGTGGGGCCGGCCCAGCAGCGGGTAGACGTTGTGGGTGTCGGGAACGGAGGCCAAGACGGAGAAGCCTACGCTGTTGCCGGTCCAGAAGATGGGCCATTTCTCCCACGGATTCTCGCGCGCACCCGTCAGCCAGAAGCTGAGGTACGGGTTGCGCACGAGGAGCGGAAGCACCGGAGGCGTCAGCGTCGAGCCCGCGACGACGGCGACGTGGGCCAGCACCGCGAGAAGAGAGCTGAAATGCATGATGATGCTGCCAAATGGTGTTGATAGCGGAGTGGGCGGACCACTGTGGGATGGTGGAGAACAAGAGTGATGAGCAGAGAGTCGAAAGTCGACCGAGAATGGACCAAGACGGACTCGGTTGCAAAAGAAATCGAGCAGACGATAGAATGACGCTCAAAAAGAGCTGAAGCCGAAAACGATGAAAGCCGCAGAGCTCAACGAGAAAACGAAACGCTATCCAGCAGCACGCCGATTCCAAGGGCTAAGGGACACGAAGGGACAAGGAAAGAAAGAAAGAAATGCAAGTGAGAAATGCAGAGGCACCAAGAGAAAGGAAAAGGACCAAAACAGGACAAAGGACACAATCAGGGAAGAAGCATGGCTGGTCTGACGGTCATGTCATCGGAAATAAAGAAGAGATCGAATGGCGAAACAGGAGAGCGAGAGGAAGAAGGACCGGGACGGATGCCATGCAATGGCGGCAAGAGCTGTTTCCAAGCTTACCCCACACTTTCCGGGCGTCAGGTGCGCATGGCCAAGGGGGGTAGGGGTCGCGGATGACGGCAGGTGCAACCCACTCGTGGCTTGTCTGGGCAGCACCTTCCATACCCCGCAGGCCACACAATTCACAGATGGGGAAGGTGCGCACTTGCATGACGGCGGCCATGGCGTTGCTTCCGCACAGCTGTCCTCCATACGGAGAACAACGAAAATTTTTGGTCTTCAAATATTTATGAGTTTACAAGTTACAGAACACCCCCCCCCCCCCCCCCCCCCCCCGTCCCACCACCCAGAGCATACGGGGCGGCCCAAAGGCCCGTTGGTTCTGTCTTAGTGTACGTAAATGTCAAGCAATATGCATCGTTCCTTCGTCTCGTTGGTATGTCTATGTACTTTAAATGGAAGTCGATCAACGCAAGCCAATATCCCTTCCTCGTCTAGAATGTAGGCTCATTACATGGACAGGCTATGTCCTCAATTTCTGTGCTGTTCGTCCTCGTCGTCTGCGGCCATCCCATCCCCTGCGGTTACCACACATCGTAGGGCTCGACCTCATGCTTCTCGCCGTCGTCGCGGATATGCTGCAGCTTGACATCCCGCTTCATGGCCTTGCGCATGTCGTATGCGTCCTCGCTCTCTTTGGTGGGATCCGTCGAGTGGTCGCCGTAGTAATCCTTGACCACGCGGAACACGCTGTAGCCCATATTCTTGTAAAAGGCAATCGCCTTGTCGTTGGTGACGCGCACAAACAGGTCCACAAACCAGGCATCGTTGGCGTCGGCCGCTGCCTCGAGCTGCTCGCTCAGTAGCCGCCCGATGCCCAGCCGCCGTGCCTCCGGTGCAATCGTTATGGCCGTGATGTGTGCGTGCCAGGGCAGGTAGTGTTCTGAGAATTTGTATTCATCGGGCGAGGACTCGAGCTTCCCCATGACTGCGGCCTGGTCAATATACATGTATGCACGCGGCGCGTATTTCTTGTCGTGACAGGTTCGACGTACTGTAGCCGATGATGTTGCCGTCGGCGTCCTCGGCCACCTGGAACAGTGCTGGCCACTTAGCATAGTACTGCAGGTAAAAGGACAGCTCGTAGGTCTCCGTGTAGCGGTCGAGATTGCACTTGGCGAGCTTGTTAAGGTCACCTGGCTGGAACCGTCGGAAGTTGGCCATCCTGTCTGTCGCTCGCGGAGCCTATGCGGCAGTCAACACGAGGATTGCAAGGCCGTCGTCTTGGTTTGCTGTCCTATTGCCTCCGCCCGCCCAGGCCAATTACTGCCTATGGCCCGCAGCTACGATCGATAGACGAGAGACCGTACGGACAACGGATACCATTCGCTCGTATCAGGTGTGCGGGACTGGCGAGCCTGCGTCGTGTTTGGCCGTCGTCCGTATTTGTGATGCCGTTGACATTATGCATGGGTCAATTTTCACGATTTCTACTGAATTATGCATTTAATTTTGCTCTAAAAATAAAGCCCATAATTCTTCCCACCATTACCAACCAATCGTGGCAAGAGCATCCCCGACGCCGCTGTCTGCACTAAATCGGGACGAGCCAGGCCCTGAAGGCAACAGCCAAGCCCCTGAATGGCCCGTAACAGAAGGCGTCTGTTTACGCATAGACGTCCGTTAGAAATCCGTAATCCCCCCCTCCCAAAATTCAGGGACCGATGCGACGCGTTGAGACAGCACCAGAAATAATTACATGCAGCAGCCCAAGAGGAAAAACGCCCGAAAACAGAATAGCCAGACGAGCCAGAGTAAGACACACAACTACTGTAAGATACACTGGCAGCCTGTTGTCGGCGCATCGTGACTGCCAATTTTGGAGATTTCGTCAACAGAGCCCCTCTGCAACGCGGCATCGCACAAAGGGGAAGCCACGAGCGACTTCGTGTTCTTGCCCGTTGTTGCCCAACGAGCCACGGCTGCGGATTACGGATTACAGATTACGGATTACGGCAGGAGCGATAAACACGACAGCCAACGCAAACACCCCCTCCTCCAACAACATCATATCGCTGCCCCCTACCCTATATCGCGACCTGACTATACCGTGCTGTTGGCCGCGCATCCACTCTTCCTGCACTGCCGTCTGCCACCTGTCGCATCAGCAACGAACGCGGCCTTGAACAACAAACGCCGTGCCCATCAACAAGACGTCGACGACCGCGTCTGCGAAACGGACCCGAGCCATCGCACCACATCGCACCACAACCCACGAACATACATCAACGAAGAGCGATAGAGCTCTGGCATCCTGTGCAACACACGATTTGCACCACAACTATGTCGGTGCCGACTACGCCGCAGCACTCGCGTCAGTCCACCAGGGACTTCTCGCCGCAGCTGGAACGGCGCCAGTCCAAGTCCAGCTACAACGAGCCCTCCACGCCCACACACCACCTGCACCCGTCCTTTAGCCATGGCGACGGCCTCGACGTGTTTAGCAGCGGGGGCATGGGCGGCATGAGCGGCAGCATGGGCGGCCTCGGCAACCTGGCAGACGAGCTGGGCGATGCCTTTTCGGACGGCGAGGACGAGGAGGGCGAGTACTACGACGACGAGCTGGACGAAAGCCAAGTACGGGCCCTCGATGGTATACCGCCCGAAATCAGTCTGTCACCGACCGAGCAGCGTGCCGCAGAGGCAGCAAAACAAGGAGATGCCAACGCAGCACCGACAGCAGGGGCGGCGGCCGCGGCAGCAGCTAACGACCAAGCACAGCGGGACAGTGGTGTCGACGTGGCTTCTGCGTCGAGTCCACGCACCAGCGGTCCCGATGGACCACGAGCACGCAATGCGAGTCTCAGCTTGCCCTCGACACATGGAGGTAGTGCCCAGGGCGGTAGCAGCCGGCGCGGCCACAAGCGCGTAGGCAGTGTGTACGATGGGTCCGAGTACGGGTCTGACTCGGACCTGGAGTCTCCAGGGATGCCGACTAGCCTCGTGGCAAAGATGGATGCCGTCGAGTCTCTGGCGCGGCGAGGGACCGAAGACAACGGCGGACCGACCGACGGCGTATGCAAGCGGTTGGTCGACGAGCTCCGCGATCTTGGGTCACAGTCTGGTGTGGAGGGCGGCGCGTCGAGGTAAGAATGCCCCGTTGCGCACATTGCAAGGTCGAACAAGCCCCATATACTGACAACTGTCTCCAGGTTAATTACAGCACACTCGGCGCTGACGACACATCTGACGCACCAGACCCGGCAGCTGCATGCTCTTGCATTCCCGTTGTTCTCGCCACTCGCCGGGCCTATGCCGGCGCCACTGGTGGGCATTGCAGTCACTCGGAATGGAGGCGACAGCGACGATGAGGAAGAAGCCGAGGACGATTTGTTGCCGATGCTGGCATCTCTCGTCGACCAGATGCCGCGTCCCAGCACCGCCGCATGCCAGTCCCTCGGTACCCTGCACGGCCTGACCAACGACCTTGTCTCGACACTCAACTACTTGTCTGACACGCTGCACATGGCACGCCAGACGACCAACACGGCCACACGCCGCCTACGTAGTGCAAAGGAGCTCGTGGCTGAGCTGCGGCGCGATGAGGAGCTGCGCGAGGAAGGAGAGCGGTGGCTGGCACGTGGCAACTGGAACGAACGGTTGAAGCAGAGAGAGTGCGCGCACGTGTGCGGCGACGTTGTCGGCGGCTTTGAGGAGGTCTGCAACGGCTGGCGGGCGCGGCTTTTGGCTCAGGCCGAGGCAGCACAGGCGTCTGCATGAACAGGAGGACGGATAGACGACAGATACGCGGCATCACTCATACAGGTGACATCCCTTTCCTTTGTTTATCTTTTTTCCTTTGAGGTTTCCATTTCATCTGCCTTTGACCGATGCACTTTTATTCCCCCTCTCCCATTCCCTTTTGTTTCCTACCGATTTAGTTACAATGTTTCTTTTACAACAAAGGGTTGATAAACCAAGGACTTTACAAGTACGGGCGCAAGACACACTCAGATTTATTCAGAACAAAACCCCCTCCTTATACGATGGCCCCCTTTTGCGGTTTATAGACGTACTGCAGAGTGCAGAGATACAGGCAGCTCTTGGTATATTTTGCGAATGCAAGGAAATAGATTCCCCCTTATTACATGTTTTGTTTTTACTAACTGTCAGACGAACTGGACGACATCCCGTGCACTGCCTCATATAACAAGTTCGTGCGTGATTCAACGCGGCCGCAGCTATGCGGTATGGGAAAAGGTCAACGTGCCGGCCCAGTCGACTGGACAGCAAACTTCCACGGCCATGTCGAGGCCGATGGTGCCGTGTCCATCGAGGCTGCCCACCACGACGGTACTGCCAACAGCTCACATATCGCATCCGACTATGGCCGCTCCCAATTAGGTGTGCTTCTGCTGCAGCTCACTCTTTCTCAAGAACCGAGCAAGGACTCTGTGTTGGTATATCCGTTCTCACCTTCAGCACTGCCGCTCTACCTGCGCTCACAGTGTCCCTCTCGCCCTTGGAGAACTCCATTCCCACGCGCCCCTGGCTAATGCGGGTAACAAGCTGGTCGACCGGCGTCGTTGCCAGCGTAATCTTTCGTTGCGACCAGCATCCTTTGGTCGTCGCCATTGGTGCATGGGAGGCACAGTCTTGCACCATGGCCATCACCAAATTGGTGGTTGACGTAGGGGGTCTGAAAGCCCAGTACGTTGGGTCCACCGGAGAGCGTGCAGGTCTGAGTGAGATGTGAGGTGTACGGCGGCAGCTTCGGAGTAACGTAAGCGGCGCAGAGTTGGTGGCGCGGCTATCGCTGGACTCGTAATTGTCTCCAATGCACTCGGTATTTCCATTTCACCCTTCCACCCTTCCATGTCTGTCCCCTGGTTTGACGGCTTGGCGGAATCGCCCTTTCCTGAACGTACATTCTCCCTGGTCCTTCCTGCTTGCAAGTCGTCCGTAAATACTCCCGCACTCAGTGTGTTGTACAAGTAACTGTGTATTTCCGTAATAGGATATCGTGCCTTCTTGGTGGGGACTTGCCTCGTTGGACAAAAGACGGCTACAAAAAGCCCAGTAATCCGCCACAAAGCTGCGTCGTAAGCTCCCCCCTCGTAGCCGCTCCGTCGCTGCTACTGGCTTTGTGGACTTTCATGCCCCCCTTTTCCTTTGTACTGAGCAACTTCGGTTGGTCGCCGGTAGGACTTTCCGTGTGCCAGCCTCGAACCTCGCTTGGCTCGTTTTCGCTGGTAGGACCACAGAAACAGGAGACGGAAGCCACCCTCATGAGCCAGAACATGGTCCCACAGAATCCCCAAAGGACAAGGAGGAAGCACTGGGAATGCACAGGGGCTGTTCTTTCCAAGTGCGCTTTTGGTGTTAAGTATTTGTTGCCGTTTTTAGCACACAGCAAAGTTCCCAAGGCCCACTAACAAGCAGCGCTAGACAAGCGTCCAACGTGCTGCCTATCCAACTAAAAGTTACAAAACCCACAACAGCACTTCTCCACGGTGGGCAGCAGGCATGGCGTTCCCCGTTTGGCTGGTGCTGGCGCTGGCTGGCGCCTTTTACCCTTTTCAGCTACTAACGGCTGGCACCATTAGCTCTAACGCCCAACTTTCGCAGCGGTCGCTTTCGTGGTTAACGGGCCGCCTTCCAGTGTGGACAGTGAGCAGGACGAAGCGCCGCAAGCTATAATGTCCTCGAGTAGCTTTAGAGAGTTTGTTATTGTGTGGTGCACGCGTCGTAACTTACTCCTGTTATATTCAGCAAACCCGAACCATATTAGCCAATATTGTGTGACATAACATTGGCGTCCACAAAAGTTGACCCGGTCGTTCCTTCCCCCGCCTCATACACGGCGAGACCAGGTTTGCATGTTTGTTGGCTGTCTGGCCAAGCCCGCGAGGGCAGGAGCTATGGTCAGGGTTTCATCGCACACCTGCCCCGGGGCGGGCGCCACCAAAGTGAGGTGTGGTGCATGGTTCGATGTTCCAGTTAGTGCCTTCCTCTTGAACTACAGCGCCGCCCGCCTTACGCTCCTGCCGCCAATCGTATCCCAGCCCTTTCCTCTTTTTGGCCAGGCCTTCCCTCTTTTGGCGTCCCTGCTCCATCCAACCACCACCACCGACCCCCTTTTCACCTCAGCGACTTGCATCCTTTCCATCGGTTCCGTGTGTCTCGTCTCCTTACGACTGCATCTTTTCTTTTCACCTCCCGACACATAAGCGCATCGTCGCATACCCGTTCCCGTCGCTCGTTTCGTGTTTTCGATTGGGTGCTCAACCGTACGCCCTTCTCTACGGACTTTTACGGAGTACGTCGTAATACGTCGCAACGCATTTACCCTCGCTTCTCAGCTATCCAGCGTCAGCCTCCAGCGTCAGCCTCCAGCCTCTCGCCCCAATAGAATTGCCTGGGCATCATTCCCGGCTCTGATCCTGCGCACACCTGCCTGCGTTTGCGTCTGCGTCTGCGTCTTCGATGCCCTTGCCATCGGCCCTCTCAACACGCATCTTCGACTCTATTTTGTTCGCCATGTTCATGCCAAACGCTCGCCTTGACCAGCTTGTTTAGGAAGTGGTAGCATGCCCGCCAACTGCTGCGCTTTCTCACGCTACCGCACACCTCGTTCGTCGCTTCGCTCCTAGACCGCGAGTACAATGCCTTTTCTCCGCCGCCGTGGCGTAATGGCCAGCGAGTCGGACATGCGCCGGCACACGTCCATCTTCAATCTTCCACTCTCCGCCCCGAAGCTGCCGCAACAGCAGCAACCACCGCTGCCCGAAGCTTCTCTACCTCGCCCGGATCTTGCTACTACACAGTCGGAGCCGGTTGTGAAATTACTTGGAGACCCCGTCGCGGCAAGCTCTGCTTCAGACGACCTTGGCAATGCAGTGTCTGCCGCCGGCACTGCAGCTGCCATCTCGGTCACTCAGCCCTCGACGCCGGCCACCCCGGCCACCCCGGCCACACCGAGCAACCCGGCCATGCTCCCACCCTCTACACCGCCGTTCAATGGCAGACATAACAGCTCCGCGCGAGAGGACACGCGCGGCGCCGTATCAATCGACAGCGACTATCTCGGCCGACCGGATTCCCCTCCCATCCAGGAGCAGACTCCTAAGCACCGCCGTTTCTCATTACTTCGCTTCCGCAACGCTTCTGACTCTCAGCTCGCTGCGCGGGCCCGGCAGCAAGCGCACGCGGAGGAAGCCATCCCGCCGATCCCACACCGTAAGCTTACCCTGGCCGTTTTTGGCCACTCTATGTTTCTGTGTACCTAATGCTGACATCGTTACAGCACCCGAGATCATTATGACTGCACCGACGTTTGAACTCGGCGCGGCTCCCCAGAAACGGCAGAACCGCATGAAACTCCCCAACCTTGCGCGGAAATCGAGTGATTTGCCGCGTATCAACGACGGTGAGGAACCCGTTGGTCGCATGAGCAACACATTCGGCAGCTGGTCAAGGAGGGAAAGGCGCAAGTCGATGATTGCACCGCTCAAGTCACACGGCAAGCAACCTGCTGTGGCTTTCGACGAGTCGGCCATCGTCCAGCAGCAGCAGCAGCAGCAGCAACCAAATCCGCAAGGCCACTCGCCACCCGAATATGGCGACGAAGCGGGCACGACGCTGGCTCTTCCCGTCAACCGCCTTTCCGAATCCTCTCGCTCTGACGGCAGTTCGGGCGACCGTGTTTATGGTAGCACCACAACGACCACTCATACCGTCAGCACGACTACCACCTTCTTCCGACTGTCTCGCCGTCGCAAAAACTCCAACCCTCCTTCTCTCTTTCCTATCTCTCACTTGCCACAAAAGGGACAACCCACCACCCCGATCGAAGGCGCCATCTCAGAGAATAGCACCGACATTGACGCCCTCAACAGCAAACCACCGCCACCCAGAGCGCCGAGTCGCGGCGTGGGGGCCTTTGGGCGAGGGGGGCTTGGCGGTCTTGGCGTCGAGGAGCAGGACACGCCTACACAATCTCGGCCCGTTTCGCAGAGGCATGGCGCTTCGACCCCGCCGAGGGGCCTGGCGCCGTCTCCCGCCATGGCCCTCTTCCATAAGGGCAACCCGTCGCCTGCTTCCGCCTTCTTCCGACCTAGTTCAAGGAATTCAGGCCACTCGTCTCCAACGCGCTCCATCCCAGGGGCTCCTGGGCCACTTGGTAGGGGCCGGTCCTCGACCATGAGCTCCGTCGGGCGAGACTCTGTGGCAGGCCGCGAGTCTGTGGACGAGCATTTAACGCCGCCCACCCTTAGAAGCTCTTCGTCTGCTACGGGCAGGAAGAGCTTTAGTGACTTGCTTGGACTGAGCCGGTTACGGCAGAACTCTGAGCCAAATCGCCAGGGTGCCCTCACTCCTGTGACCCCCTGCTCATCTACCTCCAAGAACAACTCTTTGCATCTGCCGCGGGACTCTTTTGTCCTGCCAGAGCGCCGGGAGGATGACACACCCGCTAAATACTTGGCTCGTTTGGAGGAGGTGGTCAGCCGAAGCGTGATTGGCAGTGCCTTGTCAAAATCCAGTGATCCGTTCTCGCAAGCGGTTCTGCGGAGTTACATGCGCAGCTTCAAGTTCTTTACGGACCCCATGGACATGGCGATTCGAAAACTGCTGATGGACGCCGAGCTGCCACGTGAGACGCAGCACATTGATCGCTTCCTCCAAGCCTTTGCGAACCGGTACCATGAGTGCAACCCAGGTATTTTCTCCACGCCAGACCAGGCGTACTTCATCGCATTTTCTCTTTTGATTCTGCACACGGACGTCTTCAACAAGAACAACAAGCACAAGATGCAAAAGTCCGACTACCAGAAGAACACACGCGGCGAGGGTATATTTGACGAAATCCTGGAAGTGTTTTATGACAATATCACGTATACGCCCTTCATTCACGTCGAGGACGATATCGATATCAACGGCGAGCGCATTGTTGCGCATAAGGCGAAGCGCAAGAACATCCTTCCCAACGGGGGCCTCGACATCGCCAAAAAGTCGAGCAAGGAGCCAATCGACCCATACACCCTCATCATCGACGATAAGCTAGATATTCTGCGGCCAAATCTCAAAGACGTCATGCAACTCGACGATCCGTACAGCTATCTTGGCACAGCCAAGTCCCTGAACATGAAGGAGCTGCAAACCACCTTCTTCCGTACGGGTGTACTGCAGATCGTCTCGGCCCGCTCACGCCCCGATGCATTTATGACTGAAAAGACGGTGACCAACCCCCAGGAGGCACACCCCGGCATTGTGGATATCAAAATCACGAAAGTCGGCCTCCTTTGGCGCAAGGACGCAAAGAAGAAGAAGACTCGTTCACCCTGGCAGGAGTGGGGCGCCATCCTCACAGGCGCCCAGCTGTACTTCTTCCGCAACACATCTTGGGTCAAGAATTTGATGCACCAGTACGAGACCCACATCAAGCACGGCCATGACGGCATTCCCATCATCTTCAAACCACCACTGGAAGAGTTTAAGCCAGACGGGCTCATGTCAACCAATGGTGCGGTGGCTCTTCTGGACTCGTCCTACAAAAAGCACAAGCATGCGTTTACCTATGTCAGCCATGGCGGTGTCGAGGAGATCCTCTTGGCCGATAACGAAGATGAGATGAACGACTGGCTCGCCAAGCTCAACTATGCGGCCGCTTTCAGGACATCCGGTGTTCGTATGCGTGGCGTTGTTGGCGGCTTCTACGAGGGGCAAGACCGTCGAGCCATCCGGCGCGTTGGTTCCGACGATGGCCAGTCGGTTCAGACGCCGACCGGTGAGGTCACGATTACGCGCAGCAGAATCGACCACAAGATGGCCCACGACATTCTGGCGGCCCGTCGGGATATCATGGTCCAGAAGATGGAGGACGCAAACCAGAAGCTCGACGAACAGGGAAAACGCCTCGAGGTGCAGTTGCGCAACTCGCGCCATCTGCAGATTCTGGCTCCCATTCAGCCCAAGACACGTGAGCAAATGCTCATCTCGGCAGCACGGATGGATACGCAGCTCAAGATGACCCGGATGACCATGTGGCGGCTCAAGTGCCACAAAGATATTTTGGAAATGGACCTTGATGATGAGCGGCAGCTGGCCCTGGATCCGGAGCATGCTTTGGAGAGCGGCGCCGCTTTTGCCGGCATTATCGGCGTGTCGCCCGCCACTTCCGGGATGGTAGCGCTCAACAGCGGTGCCCTGTCGTCTGCCGTTGACAAACCAGCTCAGTTGCATTCGCAGCATGCCCAGCTCCATCGTGAAGAGTCCAAGGCCAGCACTTCGAGCACCGTACTTCCTCGCAGCCCGACATCGGCCGCACGCCGCGGCTCCCTGGCCAGTGGCAGCATCGGCTCTGGTGGTGCTGCCACTGGACCAGTCGCTCCCGACTCGCCAACGTCAGACGACGTTTTCCAGACACCGCCAACGAGCGCCACGGGGGCCGCGTTCTTCCAGCACAAGCACCAGACGTCGTCGGATGTTGCAGCCGCAGGGCTCGACTTTACCAGCCTGCGGAAAGCGTCGGTGTCGAGTGCCATGTCCTCCGGTCCGTCGATTGCGGCAACGCCGCCACGCGCTGTGCGAAGCCTGCACTCGGCGCACGAAAGCATCCCGTCATCGAGCAAGCAGGCAGGTCCGACTTCTGCCGCACAGAATGAGGACAACGTCGACCCCAACGACGTAGATGCGGACGAGCACAGTCTTCTCCAGAAGACTGGCCTGCTCGAGTCGGTTGCTACCAGCACGAGTGGCAGTGCGAGCGGAGCGGGTAAGAACAAACCGGTCGGCCTCGAGGATACTGGCAGTATCCCGTACGACTCGAAGCAGCAATACACCCCCGAAGCGTCGCAACCGTCTCAGCATGACAAGAACAAGATCCGCCGCAGCTTGCAGCGCACGCTGAGAGAAGGTGCCGGTCACCTATCTACGCGCGGCCGCAAGCCCAAAGATGCATCGACGACTGGCGGCCAGGAGGAAGCGGCCGACGAGCCCATCATTCTTGAGCGTGGCACCGGATCGTTTGTCGTGCACGGCAAAAAGGCGTCTGTGATCAACTTTGGCGGCGACTTCTCGTCCATTCTTCCGCCTGACGAGCGTCTGCGTCAACGGAAGCAGCAGCAGCAACAAGAGCAGCAGCAGCAGCAGCACCAACAGCGACGACAGTCGCAACATTCTCAGCGCTTGCCAACTGTACCCGACTCGACTTCGCAGTCAACAGCTGCAGTCGTGCAGCAGCCGTCGACGGGTCAAGACGACGCGAGCCTGCTGTCGTCCAGCAACGGTGGTGAGAATAGCATCCACAACGGCAGCACAGACAATAACCAGTTTGGCATCCACAGCGACTCTCGCGTAGCCATGTTCCAGGACCGCGAACGCCGTGAGTCGGCTGCCAGTGCCAGCACGGCAACGGCACGCAGCTTCCGCGAGCTGCACCGCAAGTACTCGTCTGTGCGCGCGGCCAGCCGGTCGAGCACGGGCGGTAAGGCGCTCGTCTCGGACGACGACGAGAGCGAGGCGGCCGTCAGCAATTCCGAGGGCCGGCACACCCCTCTGCCACTTGGGCCGGACGAGGCTGGCAGCAACGACCGCGAGCGGAAGCGGAAGAAGTACTTGTCTGGTGTGGGCGAAGCCAGCGGGAGTGAGGAAGAGCGGCGGGCAGTTGCGGCCAATGTCGCTCCTGACTCGGACGACAGCATCGACGGTGACGACGACGATGACGACGAGAGCAATAACGGCGACGCTGTGGACGCCGAGGAGTTCCTCAGTGTCCCGAGCAGTGCAGCCGCACAAGCACAGTTCTTCACACCTGACCCGCCAGCGTCGCCAGCGTCGCCAGCGTCACCCGCGCTGCCGTTGCAGGCGCCAGAAAGCGCCGATGCCACCGACGCCGAGGAGCCGGGTCCGAGCCGGAAGCTCCAGGCCGTTCAAGTCTAGTTGGCGCGGCGAATCTCCTGCGGACTGTTGAGCCGACACAGATCCAGCTAGATGGGGCTTTCTTCGATGCGATAATTTTTACACTCCTTTTATTGCTTTATCCAGCGGCCTTGCTTGGTACGACGGTCGTTACTTTACATTCTTTCTCGGCATTGTCATATCCGATCCTTTTACCGGATCGTACCACCGCCCACCACGGCTGTGTCAACACATAGCGGGTTTTCTCCTTGGCTAGGATTTCCGTCTAGTGTGCTTTTTAGTTTTCTTTTCTGTGAGATGTATCATTAGAGCGACGGGATGGGATTGGTTCGAAGGGGCCCGGTGTCGGGCCCTTTTTTCAGGATTGTGCATTATTTTACAGCGGGTAGAAAAAATCGGTAATAATGAATCCATACAATATTTTGTAAAAAAATGCATAGTGTGCCGCAAACAAACATGCAAATTCCCAGTGACCATATCGTTGATGGGCACGATGTACTCCATACTCTGTACACCTTCGTCTGATCTCAGTGAATCTCGGTGATGAAAATTTATAGTTTACGGACATTTTGCTTTACAAGAAGGTTTCTCAAAATCACTCTTAAAGGCACGGGTTCACTCTTTGGGACTGCAAACGCAGATGTCAGGGGCCATGCACGTAAGGCACAATAGCAAAAGGGAAATCAAAACAATTCAAGACCTCATTCGCCTTTCACGCGATGACGTTCGGTCGGAGCCAATGAAAACGGTGCATGCAAGACCCAACTGCGGTCCGCAGCCCATGAGAGAAGCGCATCTCCCCAGGAAATCAAAACAAACGCGTAAAGTGGTTTTGGTTCCAGGGAGGGTTGGGCCGTGTGTCGCGTCGCGGGCCAATGGTGCACAACGTCGAATTTCACCACAGCCAATCACAGCCCGCAGATTCGGAAAAGGAGAGGTCCGCGCGCGTGGGCCGGGACCCAACCTTCAAGGCGCCAGCACACAGTAGCCAATCGGCACGCGTGCTGTTTTACTGTTCGTTGTTCGTGGGCCGTTTGTTTCGTGTGCTTAAAGGAGAAGAAAGACGAATGTTGTGACGATGCCCTTAGGTGGGGTATTTTTATGTCTTTTTCTATCCCTTGGCCTCGCGATCCCCTTTGAGGGGTTCTCTGTTGTTGTTTATAATTGCCTCTTTCGTCTGCAAGTGGATGCAGAACGCGCAAGACGTAGTGCAGGGAGGATGTCAGGGCACGTCCGTCGTTTCTTTTCGAGACGTGAATCGCCAGTCCCGTCATACGGACTGCTCTGCATAGCGGCATCGCCAGGCACAGGCACAAGCAGCGTGACTCGATCGATCTTGGGCGTCGTTTTCACGGCAGAACGTGCACAGGCACACACACGACACACATTTGGGGCGGGTGGCTGTTGTGTGCGCAGTGCTACACTTTAACGTGTCGAGATGTGTGAAAAGTTGGCTCGTGCAGTCAGCCTCGCGACTGCCCACTCGCAGTCACGGGACTGTGGTATGGTTTGGCCCGCAGTGCAGCCTTCCGTGGTGTGTGTTAGTGTGCGTGAATCGTGCATCGCGCTTTCCACTTACACCTGAACGCAACTGCCCCAACTTCCAACTACCTGACCTCGTGGCGTAAAGGGACTTGCTTGAGTTTGGGAAGGTGCCGCCTGTCAGGGAAGGACCAGGCCAGACCCAACGGTCTCCACGGGATCGCGCCCATGGCCGGCCCCTTGCCTGAGACAACAATAACAAACAACGGGCGGACAGGTAGCAAAGGGGACATTGACAGCGAACGAACGCCAGACAGACAGCTTTCGCGTGCTGTTGTGGGCCAGGGCCACTGGTACGAAGTATGCGCGTCAAGAAAAAATTGGGCCCCCAACCGTAGTACTCCGTAATTACAGAGAGCAAGTTACTGAAGGGGAGCTTTCCCGGGCGCTGTTCTTACGAGGGTTACAGCACTGTAAAGTCCCTGATGGTTGATTTTCAGGGGCGCTAATCCATTTTGGTTATAGTGGCTTCGCTCCTCTAAACTTACCATGCCACAACAAAGGCAAGTCCAGCCCAGAAGGCCTGCCCGCTACCGTCACCTTTGCTCCTTCCCTTCGCGTTTCTCCTGTTGTCCCTCTTTCATGTCCTGGTCCACTCTAGTTCCCCTGCCACCGCCAGCCAAAAGCCACTACCGCCCGCTCCCCGTCGCTGCCTTTCCGGCCAGAGAAACCCCCAGCCCAAGGTGACTTACCTTTCTCGCACATTCCTTGGTCAGTTGCTCCTTCCTCACCCTCGACCAACCTCCGTCCGACCACGAACTAGGCAATTCGAGCACGACAACAATAACGTCTTGCTGCCACCACCGCCACCTCTTCCCACGCTCTCCTCCAACCTGCGCGACATCGTACATCGCGGCATCACGGCATCGTATACCGTGTCGCCTTCAACCGAACCTAAACGTCGTCTTTCCTTCAAATGACAAACGCCGTCGAAGTAGCCGCCCGCGCACCTATTGCTATCTGCATCGTCCTAGAAACCACCTCCTCATTGTTTCTTCTCCTATTGTCCTATTGCCTATCGCCTCTTCACGACATCTATTGACGCCCCTGGGACTTGACGCCGACCACCTATTTGTTGTCTCGGATCCATCAAGCTTCGACATCTCCACGCCAGAAAACGCGATCGTCTCACGGCCTTGCTCGACCCCAAAGCATGCTGTAGAAAGCGACAGCAGCATTTTTGTCGTCTTCGGCCCTCGCGCGGTTTTTCATCCGCTGGATCGCAGCTCCTTTCTTCATCGGATCTCCAGGCGAGGCGTCCGTCGCTGCCCGCACCCACCACTCTCATCGTGCACGCCCGACGACAAATCGATTTCGACCACCCATCACACACACCATGGCTTCCGACGCCAATAAAGATGGCGTCGGCTCGATTGCCGGCCCATCGTCAACTGCAGCAGCACCAGCAAGCATCTCCGCTTCACCAACGGTGTCGTTGCCGCCCACCTCGTTCGCCCTCACCGCCCCGTCCACTTCATCTTCCTCCGCCACAAAAGCAACCGCTTCGCATGCAAGAATAGCGACCACACCGCCACCACTTGCAGCATCTGCGCAGCCGGCTGCCGCGCCGTCTTCCTCGTCCTTGCTCCGCACACACCTATTTGACATCAAGAGAAACAGCAATGCGATGGACGGCACCAGCAATTCGGCACCCGGAAGTAGTACAAGAAATAACACATCGGCGGCTGCCCGGCTCGCACGGGCCACGGCCCGCATCAGTAGCGGCAGCGGCAGCGGCAACGGCAACAGCATCGGAAATGGCATCGGCGGCAGCAGCGACAGCCACATCGACGCAACAACCACCGGCAACCGCAACCGAAGCCACAGCACAGGTGTCTTGGACGCCGACGCAGTCGATCATGCGCTTCGTCGCGAACTTGGTCGCCAAAGCTACCACGTACCACCACCGCCGCAACGAGAGGGAACACCCGGTGCGAGCCCGCATAGGAAGCGGCAACGTATCAACGGCGACCGGTTCGTTTTTTTTTTCCTTTTCCCTCCATCTGTTCTGCTTTTTGGTCTTTTGGTGGCACGATATTAACTCCCCCCAGCTTCATTCCGACAAGGTCGGGCCAAGACTTGCAGGCCAGCTTTAGTCTCTTACACGAAGACGGCTCGCCTGCGACGCCTTCAAAGCAGAAGAAGCGCACGCCGCACGGCGATCTTCACTTCCAAAAGAGTATGTTATTCACTGTCAATATAAGATATGCCGGTCATAGCAGTCACTAACACACGCCCAACAGCCGAGGAAGCCAACCGCACGTTCTCCACGCTGCTCCGCGCCGAGCTCTTTGAAGACTCAATACCACAGGTCACACCGCCATCCATGTCACCCGACCACACTCTGCCCAGTTCTTCCAGAGTCACCAATGCCATCGACGGCACCCGCTCACATACCCCGCCACGTGCCACCAATCCCGCCGCCTCCTCGGCCTCTGCTACCTCCATGACGCCGTCTACACCACACAAGAACCTCTTCTCGTATATGTCGCCCCGCCAATTCAGCCATGTTGCCGGCCACCCAACGCCGTCCAGAACACCACAAAGCCGGCACGGTCCGAACCTCGATACGCGCGCCGAGATTTACAGCCTGTCTCCGGTCCGTTTCGGCAGCCAGCAGATCCTCATGAGCCCTCGCCGCCAACCCAGGGCCGTCAGCAAGGTTCCCTACAAAGTACTCGATGCGCCAGAGCTGGCCGACGACTTCTACCTCAACCTGGTTGACTGGGGCAGTGCGAACGTCCTGGGCGTCGGCCTGGGATCGAGCGTTTACCTATGGAATGCGCAAACGAGCCGGGTTAACAAACTGTGCACTCTGCCTGACGACGACACCGTTACCAGCGTGTCCTGGATCCAGAAGGGCACGCATCTTGCCATTGGTACGAGCAAGGGCCTCGTCCAAATCTGGGATGCTGAGAAATCAAGGCGCTTGCGTACGATGACGGGGCATACGATGCGCGTCAGCTCGCTCGCCTGGAACACCCACATCCTCACATCCGGTTCCAGAGACCGCCTCATTTACCACCGTGATGTTCGGGCACCGGATCAGTGGCTGCGCAAGCTCGTAGGACACAAGCAGGAGGTCTGCGGTCTGAAATGGAACTGCGAAGACGGTCAACTGGCCAGCGGTGGCAACGACAACAAGCTGATGGTATGGGATAAGCTCTCCGAGACGCCGCTATGGAAGTTCTCCGACCACACGGCGGCCGTCAAAGCCATTGCCTGGTCGCCCCACCAGCGTGGTCTGCTGGCATCCGGAGGCGGTACGGCCGATCGCCGGATTATCTTCCACGACACGCTGCGCGGCACCGTGATCAACGAAATCGACACCGGCAGCCAGGTCTGCAACCTTGCTTGGTCCAAGAACTCCAACGAAATCGTGTCCACCCACGGCTACTCGCAGAACCAGATCGTCGTCTGGAAGTACCCGTCCATGACCCAAGTGGTCAGCTTGACCGGGCACACCTACCGTGTGTTGTACCTGGCTATGAGCCCGGATGGCCGTGTTGTGGTCACTGGCGCCGGTGACGAGACCCTCCGCTTCTGGAACGTCTTTGGCCGCAAGCCCGGTGCCCGCGACGATAGTGACGGCAGTGGTGGCGGGCGTCTCGCGGACTGGGGCGTCATCCGATAGACGGCGCACCCATCGCAGTACCTTTGACTCTCAATTCTATGCTCATTTTTTCCTCACCTTTATGTATACACAGCATCCAGGTACTTTTTCATAGGCATTTTCAGGCGCACCAAAGGAAAGACGACTAGCGACGCCATGGCAAAGCAGCACCCGTCCCCCCTGAATAGCGATGGCCTCCCGTGGTCTTTCTTCGACGCATGGTTCTAATATTTTATTTATTGTTTGAATCCTCATTGGCTCGGGAGGTCGGCTCATGGTTGAGATTCTAGTCTTTCATTTTTGGATTGCTTGCCATTTCCTTTTTTTTTTCGGGTTGTTTTCGTTGCGGGCTTTCTACTTTCTCATTACGGCAAAGGCATAACATCATGATGAAGCGGGTTTTCTTTGTATGGTTTTTATTCTTGCATCTCGCAAAGGGGGCCAATCTCAGCGTGTGGGTTTTAATCATTAGGGTAAAAACAACATTTATATGTGTTTAAAATGATGCCATCGAATGAGTACATGTGAATAATCTGCACGTCCGGACTATACGAGTCAGTAGTATTATATACGTGTGGTATTCACAATCTATTTATTGATTTCTTTTTGTTTTTGTTATTATTAATTTTATTTTGATTCATAATACACTCCGAAATAAAAATATGCCGACGACGTGAATAAACATTTTGGTTTTAACAGTTTTAATTAAAATATCAAGTTTACCTCAACCCCAAACCAGCATCGCATAGCCTTTGGGGCATTCGACAGTATATCCAAACAGTCGACTGTGAAGTTACAAATATTGAGAGTAACCAAATTCAAACCGAAATTAATTTGCTAGCTACCAATCTATGTCCACCATCCAGGTCCGGTCCCCTAATAATATACTATCCGGGTATCAATATAAGGAGTGAAAGGGAAAACGATAGCCACTTGTAAAGAAATCGAGACCAATACAATATCCAGAATTCCAGCAATGAACAGGAACGAAAAGCAAACAGAATGGGGCGAGTGAAGTGAAATGTGTGTCCATGAGGAGCAAAGAAACCCAAATAAAAGTGCAAACTATGATTCTACTGTATCTTTCCATTCCGTCGTGTTTCTTGTCATTCTGTCGTCGTCGTCAGGGGAAAAGTCAATACATGAATAAACGCATAAACGGAATAAAAATCAAAAACAGGAGTCGTGAATGTGCGTAGGTGACGTGATAGAGAAGCAAATGCAAAACGGGGAGAAATACAATAAGCAAACCCGTAGACAACGGTAGACATAAAGTGGAAACAGTGAAAGAATGGTCCATCAAGATGACAACGAGAACAACAAGTAATCTCATGCTGGCAGTCCCTTCCCCTTTACATAATCTCCGTTTGCCCACCTCCTTAGTTACGGCGGCGGGCCAAATCTTTGGCTCCCATATCCCAGTCGGCACCGGTGGCACCCGTCATTGTAGCTGCCGCGATGGCCTCAGCGGCAGACGCGACACCGGGTGTCTTGGCTCCGCTGTGGGACGGGCTGTCGGTGCCGTCATCGTTGATGTCGCGGTCCAGAAGTGGGATTGCGTCGATGCTGTGGCGGCGGGTTTCGTCGTCTTCTTCACCATTGTCGGTTCCGTGCTCGGATAGCGGCTCGAGCGGCGGGCTCGTCAGGTTGCTGTGAATGCCGCCGGCTGTGTCAGCCGGGCCGTCACCAGCGACCGCACCGCCCGAACTTGCACCACCGCCGCCAGCGCCCGGGGTGGTGCTGCCCTCGCCAGCCACAGGCTCGGCTGGGTGCCACTTGGCCACCTCCTGCTTCATGGCCTCCAGCTCCTTCTGGAACCGCTTGCCAAATACGTCAATGTAGTACGTCGAGCCGTTGTAGATGCTCCACGTGAACACGCCCATCATGAACACACCGCTGGCCCAGCGATACCGGAACCAGAGCGGGCACGGCAGCATGGTGCACACGGCATAGTTGTATTGGATGAACATGAAGGCCGGCTCCTGCAGCGCGTTGGGGAGCGCCAGCACGATCTTGCCGATCCATGTCTTGCTGTACGAGCGGCGCAGCCACGTGAAGGACGTTGGGCGGCCGGCGGCAATCTTTTCGCGCCGGCGCACGGTGATGAAGAAGTAGTACGACAGCTGCCAGAAAGCGTACGGGATGGTCGACCAGGCCAGCATCGACAGCACGTTGGCGTACGAGCCGCTGGTGCCGGGCGGTGCATGCTGGATGGCGTAGACCGCGGGGAACCGCACC